CCGTCCCAGCTATATTAAACAAAAAGTACTTATTTTGATATCTGGTACTACTGAACGCAACTTTGTTGAGGCATTATGGTGTATTATATTTTTTTGTGGACGTGAGAGTAAGCTTGCACCCGAGCTCCTCAGTGTTTACACAACATTCATACTTCCCAAGCTCACCTATGCCTCCCCCACCTGGTCTTCCTCCCTAAATGCCACACAACGTAAACACCTAGAAAAAGTGCAAAAGAGGGCATGCAAGATTATTCTCTCCCCTTCCTACTCCACATATCAAGAAGCGCTCAACACACTGACCCTTTCGACTCTCACTGACCATCACCACGACCTCATCTGCAAATTTGGTAAGAAGCTTCTACACCATCCTCGACACCGGCTCCTACTGCCACCTGAGATCCCTAGTCCGAGAATTGCTGTTCGACACCACAACCGCATCCAGCCCATACGTGCACGAACTGATCGCTATAAGAACAGCCCAGTCCCAACCATTGTAAAAATTATCAATAACTTGTAATAAACCAGTGTATTCACTCCCAGTAAACACTACTCCTTGCACTGTCACTATGTTGAAATGAACTGTAGTTTGAGCTTTTCCCCATCTAGTTATTATATGTCTTATTTGTGTCACTTATGTTACTTGTATATTATTTGTAATTCGAAACCCATTCCCCAAATATGTAACTGTATATTTTCAGCCTTCTGGCTGCCAAGCTCTTTCAATAAACCGTTAATTATTATTATTATTATTTATTATTATACCAAAGGGGTCGGCTGTAAAAAAACAGATGACACGCGGTGACTGCAGATTTAAGTTAATTTACTTTCTCAGATAATATCCATTTGCGACGGAAGTGGTACTAGAAAAATTTGTTCCTTTTGACAAGATATAACTACAGTAATGGTAAACACAAAATTTCTCTCATTGAGTTGTAGCTGAAACAGTAATAATACCATAATCATGACGTTTTATTTTGCCGTGACTGGCTAAGTTCCTACAAACGCTATTTTACCATGAGTGTACTCTGATTGGCTAATCATCCATTGCCACTGAACAATGCAAGAACTATATTTTACCTTGACTCTGGTGGCATTTGGCATTTATTTGGTAAATATTTAGTAGTTGCCACCACCTAATTGACATTTGAAAATGGGTTTTATTTTGCAAATCATCATGTTATATACAAATATGACCTTCATTGCTGTCAGAAATGAGCAGTAGTTGAGATATTGGAAAAAAAAAGTGAAGAAAAAAAAACCCTAACCCCTAATGTGTAAGAAACTTACCTTAAGTAAGATATACAGGAGGATAGAGTGATGAGACTTGAAAGAGGAAATGGTATTCTCATTAGTGTCCATCTCTTATACAGTACCATGCATGGCAATCTACACGGTACTGACACTTTGAATTACGTCTGGGACACTTTACAGATGAAACAAGAACACCATGAGCCCTAAAAATGTCAACGGCTGCTGCTTCATTGTTTAAAATGTGCTGAATAATGCACCCGCCAGCCAATATACATCCTTCTCGAACAGATGCCATCTTCCAACTGCCCGCGAATGGAGACTTGTGCTGATTAGCGCACAAGTATTACATCACATCAACACTCACGCTGATTGGCCAAATATTATAAAATAAAACTTAAAATAACTGGAAAACTATAAATTTCCGAAAGTAACATTATAGAATAAATTATTTTTTATTTTTTCTCCCTCTCCCCATACATGACTCAATATTCAGTTACTTGGTGGTGGCAATTACTAAGTATTAACCATGTATTTCGCAGTGAGTCGATCATTGTGCAGCTACAAACATACCTAACCATATTTCTGTTGTGCATGGAAACTTATCATTATAAAAGAGGCAACATTTACAAGAACCTGACGGTAAATTTGCAGTTTCGGCCAACATGCCCTATTAGTTTAGAAATTAGTTTATCCTGTATATTTTGGTGTGATTTAATCGAATTTGATCTTTATTTCTGGGGGAAAGTACCCACTTTAGAGTTACCTTCCCCCTTCCCCCAAAGTATGGAAAAACTTTAAAATGAATTTCTGACATTATTATTCTTTGCCCCCCCTGGTTGAAATGGGGTTAGAAATACTCTAAATAAGGAGATCTAAAGGTTGGGGATGGTTAAATCAGTCGGCTGTGTATTTCCCCCCCCCCAAAGGTAACCAAACCTAACCTAACTTAATTTAAACTAACCAAACCTAACCCCTAAATCGGTACATACCTTAATTAGAAGTCGGGGGGGACAGGGACAGGCTCAGGGTCAGGCTCGCCGACATCTTCTATGTTGTGTTCTAATTCAAATGGGATTGGTGGAAAAAAATTGGCTACTCACTATTGGTCAAAGCTGGTTTATATCACGCAACATCACGAGTTTACGTCGCGCAACATCATGACACGGCACCTCACTGCGCATGCCCAAGAGTCCACAGCAGATGACAGAGCACGAATAAGTAAAGTTGAAAGAGTATGAAAAAACTTTAAGTAAAGGTTAACGAAAGCACTACCACCAGAAGGAAATGTGCGATTAGGTTTAAAAATTTTCTTCACTCTATTAGCATGATATTATGCTAAAAGTGTGTATAAAATATTTAAACCAACGAAATTAAGCAAAAGAACCAAGGAAACCCTACCTAACGATTGCCACGAGGCGCTGTAAAAAACTATAGATGATATAAAGAGAACAGAGTATGCATTTAATAAGTGAACAAAAGAAGATTAAACCGGTATATACGTAATTCTAAACTTATTAAAGATGTGTAATTATTTTATTAAAAGGATCAGAAGTAATGAAACACAATTTATGCAGTTTTTAGAGGAAGGAGCAATGGCGGCGGCAGGGGAATTGTGAAAGTGGACTGACTTACGGTAAGAAAATGATTGTGGAGTTTGAAATGCACCAAGAGATGTAATTTGAATGCCATAACATCAGTGTTCGCCGTGTTTTTACCCCACAATTTCCCTCATCTTTGATGCTCTGCCCACTAACAAGGAATTTAAGATCGTAGGATGTAGTAAATGAAAAAATTCCTAAAAAATACTTAAAATTATAATAGAAAGTTGTCGTTTCTTTTAATATTCTTAAAATCATCAAAACAATAAGTAGGGGGTATAGCAAAAATAAAGAAAAACAACAAACAACAACTGGAGGTAGCGCTTTTGTAAACCTTTACCAAACTTTAAAATTAATTTCCGAAGTTATTATTCTTTGCCCCCTGGTTGAAATGGGGTTAGAAATACTCCAAATAAGGAGACCGAAAAGTTGAGGATGGTTAAAACTGTTGGCCACGTATTGGCCGAAACTGCAATAATACCAACCTGGGAGACCTAACTAACCAAAAAACGGTAAAGGTGTAGATAACGGCTACCACCAGAAGGAATTGTCAGAATTGGTTGAAATTTTTCTGCACACTAAGATCATATTAAACACAAGAATAGAAATGACAATACATAGAACCTAATAGAACCTGACCTAACATAACCATAGGATGGGGATGTTAGGTCAGGTTCTATTAGGTTCTATGCATTATCGTGTTAATTTATGTGTTAAACAACTTACCTTAATATTGAGGTTGATATAAATCAGCAATGGCAAGGAGGAATTCATGGAAGCGTTCACCATCATTTATAGGAAACGTCTCTTGAAGAGGGATTCAGCGAGGTAAACAACAAAAATGGCACCGGGAGAATTGTGAAGCGGGATAGGGGTAAATAAAAAAATAAAATAAAAATACTTAAAACCATAATAGAAAGTTGTCGTTTCTTTTAATATACTTAAAATCCCCAAAACAATAAGTATAGCATAAATAAAGAAAATCAACAAACAGCTTCTGGTGGTAGCCGTTATCTACACCTTTACCAAAGAAACTTACCTATCCTTACCTAACTTCCTACAGGTACTTACTTGGGGGATGTACTCCCCTCATATTAAACAGAAAATATTTACCAATCAGTTGCACTTACAGTAAGGCAGCGTTAGTGGGAACTTACAAGGTGTTTGCCATCTCCACCACTATTATCATATTCGAAAAAGACGTCTAATTTTAAGATAATTTTCTGCTATAACATTACCGTTGCAAACGTATAATAACAGAGATATAGCGCATCCCAAATCTTTCTCTAAGTGTTCCCTTCATAAATCGCCACGTGCACACGTACACGTCACGTGGACAATCAAAATCGTTTTTTTTTCACCAAGTAAAATGATTTGTGGTTTAATTCGCGGTATTTTTTACCTAATCAGATACAAATTTTATTTTGGGTCTCATATTTTGAAATTCAAATTCATTTCCGACCATGGAAGTTTGAGATGTGTGTCACTTCAATTATATAGAGTTGATTGCATGTTTTGGGAAAAAACGAATAAGCTACATATAGCATTTTTTGGATATCATGGTGTTCTCCTAACCTCAGTAAAGTGTCCTAATTGTAAGAACGAATGTAAATATCTTCAAGACCAACATATGTGGCATTGTGGAAGCTCGTTCCTTATACCCCCGTTATGCAAGAATTAGCGTCAGCAACCTGTACTAATCTCAGAATCCAACGAACCAGAACCAGGCCAATAAGGTAAGAAATACAGGAAGTGATTCCATCATATGGTGAGTTATGTTAGGTTAAGTTAGTTTAGGTCAGGTTTGGTTTATATGCCAGTTTCTCTAGTCTTTTTTGTGTATTTTGTATTCGCTTGGTCATAATTTTTGTCGGAAAACGCCCCACTCAAAACAGCCGATAACTAAAAAATAGACAATTTCCGACGTAAATCAAGGTCAAAACCAATCAAAACACAAAAAATACACAAGAAAAACATTTTAACTTTCTAACAGAGTTGTGTGCACTAATGCAAATTTACCGGGGATATTAAGCCTACATTAAAATATTCGGTAGTTATAATCGTTGTTACAATAATTTCGTTACCGATCATACACTGATACATGTTCCTGCCACACTGGCGTGAACTTGGTGACTTGTCTCTTATGCTCACCTGTAAAATCAATCTTGTTTTTATGTAAATCTTCAGAGTTATAATATGCCACCATCAGTATGTGCATGACAAGCAATAAAGCACAACTACTTCCCCAGAACACTCATGTGACAGCACCAAACCTCCCGACCGCCACCACCACGTAACTGTTTTGTTGTGATTCGCTAATCAGCAATCATTCGTACCATATTTATATATGACTATAATGTGGAATGAATATCTTAAGGCACTAAATATATATGTATATATATTAAGTAAAATAATAATTTTACAGAATTAAAGCCTTCAATAACTCATACGGCAGCATATTTAAATAACGCATTCCACAGTAACTCGAATGCGGTCCGGCAACCGGTGAGTTCAAACAAACACCCACAGTCTGTCATTGCATATATATATATATATATATATATATATATATATATATATATATATATATCACCCTGAAGATGTGAAGTACCTGCTGCTGAAAAGCCCTGTCGAGCCAGATTACCAATTGGCCGTGGGTCAATGGCCTGGGCCCCCCAAGTATCAGGGCCTGAAACTAATTTGTCGAGCAGCGTGCAAGCGTATAACGTTGTTTCAAGTGTACACCTAGTACTTCATTATATAATATATTCACCCATAAGGGCCCTGTTACAAAAAAGTATAGGGCCGGGTATAGAACCCCTGTACAATAAAAGCATAGGCCGCAGTGGTTGAAACAACCACAAACATGTTCTATAAATTTGGGGGCCCACTGATGAGTTTGGTCTAGGGGCCCACAAGTACTGTACCAGGTAAATCAGCTGTTCATGTGGTTAATGCATATACTGGATCACACGCACCCACAATGATTTACTTGCACACACACACATATATATATATATATATATATATATATATATATATATATATATATATATATATATATATATATATATATATATATTGATAAAATCACAGGAAAAAAATGAAACAACAGGTACCTTAGCTTTCGTCTTTATTCAAGACATCTTCAGAGGCAACTGGATTACATGGACAGAGAGAGGCTAAATATACAGGGTGACCTAAAAACATGAGGTCAGGTCATAATGATGACATCCACTAATCCCCAACAACACACACGTAGAGGAGCTTAAGAAGGGGGTGGTGACGTGACTAGCCAGGTCAGGTCAGAAAAAAGGGACCCACAAAATAACTATCATACATCTAGATCAAAGGTTTTCAAAGCATTTTTAACCTTGGGCCACTGACAAATAAATTTATGTAACATATTATCAGTTTTGAACTGACCATCACTAAGGTTTATTGATTTTAATTCCTTAATCAAACTAGCTTCAACCAGAAGTCTTTCTGTGACACAAGATGATTTGAATACTTCTAAGCTTTATTCCCAAGCAATGGGGTGATTATTATTCCTAACATGAACGAACAAGGCACTTGTCAGGTTGATAAGTGGCACACCATTCGTGATTTTGTATATAACCTTCTTAGTGAAACTGACAAAGCCCAAAAAAGAAGGTTAAATGCCAAATTTAATGCTCTGTTTGACGAGAGTTACTGGACCACATTGAGTGATCCAAATTTGTTCATAAACTTATCTTCTTATGATCTACAGACAAATGAGAAACTTGTTCTTGGTTTTGGTAGGAAGTTTTCTATCACTCAACGGTGTGTTAATCCGCTTACTATTGCTAAAGGTTTAATCAACCTGGAAAAGAATAAGTCGTCAGATGTTACAAATGAAGATATTTCCATAGCTAAAGGCTGTATACATAGTGTTTTACATAAGAAATTTGTTTCAAACATTCCTAAAAGATTTGAAACAGCCTTGATAAACTTGAAAAGAAATAAGAATATCCATATTACCAAGGCTGACAAGTCTAATGCTATTGTTATTTTGGATAAAAGTGACTACAATGATAAGATGAATTCATTACTTAGTGATGAAAGCACGTATTGTGAGCTTGCGAAAGATCCCCTGGAAAATATTAATAAGTTATCTAATTCCAAAATGAAGATGTTATTGAAAAAGAACCCCGATCTCATCAAACAGCTCTCTCAAATCAATCCCACTTTACCTTATATGTATGGATTGATCAAAACACACAAGCTTAACAATCCATTACGTCCTATCGTGAGTTCTGTGGGTTCTGTTACTTACAAATTATCCAAGTGGCTGGTAAAGATGCTATCCCCTCTTACAGGCCAAATATCTAATTCACATATACACAATAGCAGTGATTTAATTGATAAACTCAAGAAACACAATGAACCTTGCGAATTAATAAGTTTTGATGTAAATTCACTGTTCACTAGAGTACCTGTGAAAGACTTACTTTCATTTCTTAAAGATAAATTACAACTGTTAGATTTAACTATTGAACATGATACTTTCCTGAAATTGATAGAGTTATGCGTAACTGACAATGTGTTTAGAGCAAATGGATATAGAATCCTTGGAAAGAATTCAGAGGAGAATGACAAGACTAATCCCGGGCATTAGGAACCTTGAGTATAGAGACAGGTTAAAGCATCTTAATTTGTACTTCCTTGAGAGACGTAGAGCGAGGGGCGACCTGATAGAGGTGTATAAGTGGAAGGCAGGGCTAAACAAAGGGGACATTACAAAGGTACTCAAACTATCCAACCAGGAGCGAACTCGTAACAATGGTTTTAAATTAGACAAATTTAGATTTAGGCGTGAAATAGGTAAACACTGGTTTGGAAACAGAGTAGTGGATGAATGGAACAAGTTACCAAATATCATCATTAACTCGAATACGCTGAATTGCTTCAAACATAGGTTGGATGCTCATATGAGCAATAGGGGTTGGGTGTAAACGGGACTGTCCAGTATGGGCCAATAGGCCCGCTGCAGTTTCCTCCATTCTTATGTAGATTACTACCTAATATAGTGGACTTTATTCCTCCATGGTATAGATATGTAGATGATGTTCTTTGTCTTTGGCCTAAAAACAGTGACCCATTGGAATTTTTAGACAAGCTTAATGATATTGTCCCAAGTATCACATTCAAAATTGAAAGAGAAGTAAATGGATCCCTTCCATTCCTTGATATGCTTATCATGAGAAATGGCCAAAACTATAAATTTAAGGTATATAGAAAGCCCACACAGGTAGACAGTTTCATTCACTTTTTATCGAATCACCTTGAGTCTACCAAAATGTCAGTTTTTTCTGCTATGTTAAGATGTCTGCATATTTGTGACTCTGAATTTATTGACGATGAATTGAAACGCATTCGTTCCATTGCACAGAAACTCGGGTACCCTTCTGTGTTTGTTGATCGTTGTTTTAAAAGGGCTAAAAAATCCTTTCATTCCTCTCAAACCAGACAAGTTCCTACACTTAAGACTATTTTGACTCTGCCCTATCGTAATGAATTTGTCCCGTTAGTTCGGTCCCTCAAGCTTCTAAATATTAATGTTGTTTTCAAGTATGACTCAACCATTACCAATATGTTAATAAGGAATAGCCCAAGTTTGAATGTAAATGGAAGTGTTTATTGTATTCCATGTAGCAAATGTAATTGTAATTATGTAGGACAGACAGGAAAAACACTGCAGCTCAGAATCAAACAACATAAGTATAATATCAGAACAGCATCTGAAAGCAGTGCCTTGTTCGTTCATGTTAGGAATAATAATCACCCCATTGCTTGGGAAAAAAGCTTAGAAGTATTTAAATCATCTTGTGTTGTACTGCGCACATCACTGTCATTCCTAAAAATCCCATTTAATTCATATTACGCTATATAACATTCAAATGCACCGCGCTTGTAAAACCTCAGAAAACGAGAAACATTGATAAAGGACAACTCACCTACTCAATGTTCCTAGACCATGTGTTGTATTGTACCCAGGTACAGTTATATCATATTAAGTGTATGTATTTATAGCATTAAGGAGAACTCAGGGTATGCATAAGATGAATGTTAAAGTCCAGTTGAGCCGGACTAGTGTACTGTAAGACTAAGTGTGGATCAGGGTTTGAAGGTCATACTATTTACGTCTGTGAGCGTGTAGCGAACATAACTTCCACAGATATCATATGAAAATACATGAGAACCATGATCTGGAAAAAGGATAAATGTATCAGAACTATGTGAGGTGTTGGAAGTGATCCAGAAACTATACTTGAAAGGAAATATCTTGTATGCGTCGGTATGAACTTGTAGTGGAATTCTCCCCTACAAACGCTGTTTGTCGCTGCCTAGCCGACCCCACCAATTCCCCAGTGTATGCCTCGTGGTCTAGGTCAACCAGCGCCGCCATACACCACGGAGCGGGGGTCAACTGCTAAGCCACGCCTACCCCCGCTATTTAAGACCTGACCTCGTGGTGATCTGTCTCTCTTTCTACCTACACCAACCAGCCAGCAACACCTCCGCCTGCCTGGCGGTCCTCTCTCCCGCTGGCGAGCATGGCGACCCACAAGCTGTCCTTCTCTGAGCGTCCTCACCAACCAGCTCTCTCTACATCACGCTTGTAATCATGCTGCCTTCCCAGCACCAAGCTGCATTGTACATCCAATACAACATGTATATAGAGAGCACATTGTGAGTTTCCTTTCTCCATCCCATCCTGGGTGTGAACCAAACAATTTCATACCCCACAAACTTAATACACCTCGTATCCTCACGTGACATATACCCACGACAGGTACAGTGATCAGAGAATCTTATGTCTGTGTTCAAATAGTGCAATGTGTGAGAGGAGGATCCCTCATTACAGTTTTAAGTGAAGTTGATACACCCCCGCCATGAACATTCAGCCTTTGTTTCAAGGCGTGTCATGTACCCGCCTAGGATGCCACGTTGATATTATAACCCCATGAATTTACCCAAGAACTAGCAAACCAAGACCTTACCTTAGTGTGTAATTTAAGATTAAAATGTGTGTTTATAAGGCATGAGTGACAATATACCGAAAAGTGTTCAGGTGAGAACCATAAGAAACAAAAAGTGCAGATTAAAGATTGGAAACTGTAGGCCTACGTGATGAGGAGCAGCGGGGCAATGCCCTCAGTCTTCCTCGTTCTACCGTCACCTCAGGTCAGTGTCCTAGCGGGCTATATCCCGCCCTATAATTAAGGTTGATAAATAGAAGTTATTACAGTTTAAAGCTTTGCCGGATATATAAGTGTAAT